TAAATAAATTAATAAATAATAAATAATAAATAATATGTTAATTAACTCGACAGGCTTTTGTCTGCTGATCTGGGGAAGCCTGGACATATTCCATCTAAACCCTAAACCCTAAACCCTAAACCCTAAACCCTAAACCCCACACCCCAAACCCCAAACCCGAAACCCTACAAGTTTCCTTCCTGATCAGCAGCTCCGCGTTCTCGCGTCGCCCCCCCGTCTCCCCCCCAACCCCCCAACCCCAAACCCTAAACCCTAAACCCTAAACCCTAAACCCTACGTGGCCCCGTCTTCGTGGGTGAGTTTGCCGTGGCCGTGCAGCTGGCCGCGCAGCCACTGGCCCTCATATTTGAGGCCCGAGGGAGAAACAAAAGTTCCGTTTCCTTCGAATTTATTTTCTCTAAACCCTCCGGAGTAAAAAGTCCCTTCTGGAGACTCCAAAGTGCCCTCTCCGTCCAAAGTCCACTCCTGCGACAAACCCTAAACCCTAAACCCTAAACCCTAAACCCTACGCCGTGCGCACTACGCGCTGCGCCGTGCGGCGCCGCACACGGCGGTACGCGCTGAAGCCCCACTTTTACGACCCAACACACTAATCCTAAACCCTAAACCCTAAACCCTAAACCCTAAACCCTAAACCCTAAACCCTAAACCCTAAACAGTGAACTGTAGGCCCTAGACCCTAAACCCGAGAACCCACTGGCCAGCCCCCAAGCCCTCGCGCCTCTCCCCTCTCCCCCCCTCTCCCTCTCCCCCAAACCCTAAACCCTAAACCCTAAACCCTAAACCCTAAACCCTAAACCCTAAACCCTCGTCCCTGCGTGCCTTCCAGGTCCCCTCATAAACGCTGCCTCCCTCGAGAACAACTTTCTCTCTTTTAACTCTTCCATTTCCCGCGGGTTCGGAATTTATTTCCATCAAGTTTGGAGGAGGTTTTCCAATTTTAATAATTCCCCCTTCCCGGCCCCCCGGAGGGGGTACACAATCCGTACCCACTACGTCGGGGCCCTCGCTCCCCGCGA